CGCAGCCCGCAGGGCCCCTCTCCATTCGTGCTTGCCCTTCCTGGCCTGCGCCCTCCACTGAAATTTGAAATCTCACAATTCTGGCACTTGCTCCAAGCCAGACCCGTTCCACGAGCTGGCTGCAGCGGCCTCCCAGGGCTGACGTTCCTCGCTTTGGGCCAGGGCCTCGAAAACATCGTAAAGGCCAACCTCGCCTCGCCCGAGTTCGGCTTCTGAGATCGCAAAACGCTAACCCAGGTCACTCTCCCAAGCCAAGGGCCCGCAAGGCTTCCAACCTACATCCAGCGGAGCGGCGATCGCGGCGGCCACTGGGGTGCCTGCGCATCGCCAAGCGTTTCCGGCTGACTTGGGCCCCAACTCAGCTGCGACTCTACACCATGCTCCCCTCGTCTCCTCGGCATCGCGACTAGCATGAGTCAAAATCTGGAACCAAGCTTGCATCGAATCAAACATCGCGGAGAAAGCCAGGCCTCTCCGACCGGACTCCAGAGCTAGAAGAATGGTCAGGCACCCGCCCCCCCTAGAGACCCCCCCAGTAAGCCTGCCCAACGCCCAGCGACAACCAAAGGCACCGCTGGGCGGGGTGCCGTGGACAATACCCAGCCTTAGCAAACGCCGAAATCGAGGCCATCTTGCGCACCCATTTCCTGCACAACCCGATGCCTTTGGCCAGTTTGCCCAGCCTCTGCAATCGACGGTTGGCCCCAGCCCTCCTAGTGGCCTGATTGGGTAGCGAAGCCTTGACCTGGCCTCGATCAGTGCCTAGATATGCTGCCACGCGCTTGGCCTGCACGCTGACGCCGCGCCCTCCGAAGCAGTCCTCGAGTATCACGGCCGACGCCCAGGACGAAGAGATGATGGCCGATTCCGGGGCAATCTGCAACATAATCGTGCGAAGGCCCTGGACCAATTCCAGGCCCAGCTTCGAGAGCTCAGCAAAAACGCTGCCACTGTCACCATGCATGCTCTGTGCAAAGTCGCCAACCCAAGTGTACAACGCAGGTGAAGGCCTGCCCGTAAGTATTTTGCTGCAGACGAAACGTAGAGCTGCTCTGCACAGATCAACTGCACGCTGCTGCCAGGACCGAGGGACATGCAAGGCTGCACATCCGGAGAGGGAGTTCCTGCCCCCTTCAAAATACTGGTGGCCACGTGGACCCGGGCCTCCAGGGCCAGGTAGCACGGGGGAAACTCAATCAAGTTCAAAAGCGTGGACCAGAACCAGGTCCCATCGGAGACTGTCGTAGAAACCTTTGACATCCCAGAGCAAGCTGGCACGCTGGAGGTCTGGCAGAGATGAGCGCGCCGCCTGCTCATCTCTGAACAAACTCAAAAGAGCAACCTGCAGCGCCGATTCGCCCGCGAAGGCCGCGCCCCACGGCCCCGCTCGCCCCCTCGTCGAGCCCGCTCGGTCCGAGATCCTCAGACGCCCCCGAAAGCGGACAATCCAAGCCAGCAGGCCCAGGGCTCGGTCAGAGCCCCAGTCTCTGACTTGGAGCGCGAAAAGCACCGCGAGGGCCTGCCAGGGCCATCAAACTTCCCTTTCGACAAGCGCATAGAAATCAGCAGGCTGCTGCAGGCCTAACGGCGGCAACCACTGGAAATCCTTCTTGGGCCGCATATCTACACCAAGTGTTTTTTTTCAGGCAGGGCAGAGATGACCCTACGGAGCCAGTCGGCCCCCATCAGGGGTCGCGGGTTCCTCGACTGGCCAAACTCTGGGCCTTGCGCCAAAGGGCCCGACGCCCGGAAAAACTGGACCTGTCCAGTGCCCACTTGCCTGTCCAGATCTTTGGCCTTTGCAGCCAACCACTGGCGGGGGCCCAGGCCATGCACCAGCCCGAACCTCCCCGACGTGCACCGACTTGCCCCTGATGCGGCTACACAGGCCACGGCCCCCAGCCTGGTCCTGCTGCATGACCCACTGGTGGAACCAGGTGATAATAGCGTGCGGGGTTGCGTGCTGGGCTCTTGCAGAATTCTGCCTCGCTCTAGTTGCGACATCGCTGACAGTCAGGTCTGAAACACTCCTGAGAACACGCAGGCCCTAGCCCAAAAGGGAGCGCACCCTATCAGAGAGCGGCAGAGGTAACGAGATCGGCGCTGCCAAGGCAATGCCCTGGATTCTACAAGCAGCCAAATGGGCCCATGCGTCGATCTGCCCCCGAGGAAACAGACCAGGCCCGCCAATGAGAAGCCCCGGGTGGCCCACCAGTGGGCCACAGGGCCCCTGGAAGAAACAGAGTGGGCACCCTGGGCCTCGGGTCGTTGTAGGAGCGCTCTCAGCTCAGCACGGCCCTTAAATCTACGCTGGCCCTCGGGGCGCACTTCCAGCGAGGGGCAGACAAAGCCTTCGCGGCGCGAAACCCATCTGGCAAAAGCGGATCGCGCCTTCATCGCCCCAGCCTCGTTCAAGTTGAAAGCGAAGGAGTCTCTCGCGTAGCTCGGCATCTTGGCCCCCTAGACTGGGTCCTGCATCGACTCCCGCAGATGATCCTGCTGCTCCTTCGTGACCATCAGAAGCTGGTGGCCTGGCCCACTGCGCCTGTCAGGTTATGCCTGGCTCCGGTGCTTCGCCACATCCTCCGCGACGCGGCGGTCGCGCGGCTGCCCCTGGCTCGGGGGCGGGGCCGCGGGCTGCCCCCAGAATTGCCCCCCGCCCCGCCCAGGCCAGCACGCCGCCACTCCAGTCGACAGGGGCCCCGTCCACGCTGCCCCACCTGCAGCGGCGCGCTCTCCACCCCTCGCGCCATCAGCGGCCCATAGGCGCGCGGCACTCGGGGGGCCCACGGGCACTCCGGATGACGAAACCTCACTGGCCCACTCGTCCGAGGCACCCGCAGCAGCAAAACATGACGACTGAGCCCTGCCCCTCGCGCCGCTTACCCCTTGGGTGCTCCTGGAGGCAGGGACCTGCGCTCCAACCTGCGGCGGCGGTGCCCTACCCCTCTCGCCGCTTACCTCATGGGCGCGCCTGGGGGCGGGGACTTGCGGGCAACCTTCATCAACGACATCGATAACTGCTCCGTCTGGCACGCTTGAGAAATCGAAATCAAACCCCACCTCCACCTCCATGCCCCAGTCGTCGTTGGCGAGGTGACTGATCGGTGGTGGTGACTTGAAACAAATTATTCTGCGTTTCCTCAAAGGTGCCGTCACTGGTGGCATCTCTTGTTCCACCTGCTCCTTCATTCGCAAATCAGGCTTCCGGGTGCGATTGCCCCCGGCAAGTCTTTCTGCCAACGGCGGAAGCCATCTGGAAGCCCACTTCATCTTCAACTTCTGCTGCAAACCGAAGTGGGCTCTACCCCCCTCATGGCAGGCAGCGTCGTCGAAGGTGAAAGGATGAGTCTGATCATAATTAGTCGGCCAGGCACTTCTTACCCAAAGTACACGCGCAATCAAAGCCATCCGCCGCCCAAATAATCCCATCCACCAAACGCGGCCAGACTATCTTTCCCAGCTTGTGCGGCTTCGCATTGAAATCGCATATAAACAACCAAAGTGTGCGGATGCCCTGGATCAGCTGGCCCATCTGGATGAGCTCATCAACGTCGGCGCCTGTCAAACCTATGCCCGATGCGAGGTGCACCCCCATGATTGTGATCGCCTGACCTCCGATCTCCAGCTGGAACGCCACTAGGTCATTGAAGTCCAGGCCTCCGAGCTCGGCGTCATCTGGCTCGTCCAACAATCTGAGCCCCAGCTGCTGCGGGGGCTCGCTCACTAAGTGCCTGAAAGACTGGAATGCGCATCCCCTCAAGACTCTTGCCGAGATGCCACCGGCCCCCTTCGCCCCATTTGACAAGATACGACGGCGCAACTACAGCCTGAAAGCACGATCTGTCCAATCCATGTGAGACTTCGTGGTTTGTTCATGAAGTAGGTGCAGCTTGGGAAATGTGAGGACATCGTGGACCCTCTCCTTCAGCAGGCCCTTCACTGGAAAGCCCCATCCAGAAAGATCTCTCACGCGCAAGCTCTTGATGTCTTGGGCCTCAGCAACAAAGGCCCGATCATCCCCCCTGCCCTTTGCTTGAACGAAGCCCCCCACCGAGCCCCCCACCTCGCGCTCGAGGCGGGCCACGCGAGGGATCAGACAGCCGTCTTCCCCCGGAGGCGGGTTAGGGGGCTCGACTTCCGGGCGCCATCTGGGGCGGAAATTTGGGGCGCCCCCCCAGCCGGCACCCGACCCCCTGAGCCAGCTGCCTCACCTGCAGGCGGGGCATCTGGCACCTTCCTCTTTTTCTTTGCCCTCTCGACCACGGCTGCGAGCTGCCCCTTGCGCCGGTCGATTTCTGCCTGCAGGGGCCCGCCCGCAGCCTGCGCAGCCTCGGAGAGAGCCTGCTGAAGCAGTCGCTTGGCCCCGTCGAGTATCTGGCGATCCTCCGCCAGCACCTCCAGCCCGTCCAGCTGCGATTCGATATTGATCTCCACATCCAATTTGCCATCCACAATCTGCTGGGCACCAACTGAGGCTGCCTTCCTGCCAGGTAGCGCGGAGTGCGGTAATAACTGCGTAGCTGCTGCAATCTCACCCGCTTCAGCCCGCTGCACTTTCTCCGCGGCATCACGCAGATCCTTCTCCGCCTTCTCGAGAACTTTCCTTTGGCGGACCTTCGCAGATTTGACCTCCTCCAACTGTTTCCTAGCGCGATTGGCTCGGGCCGAACCCTGAGATCTTGCGGGCTCGATTAAATTGAGCCGCTCGGAAGCGGCTCAATTTATAATTGAGTCGTCCGAGAAAATCAATACATTAGCAAAAAATTAAGACAGGCGAAGATCGAATCCAATGCGGTAGCAGCGAAGCCGTAACCAATCGAGAGACCGTCTCGAAGTCTACATGTCATACAGCGCCCGTCCAGGGGGCCAGCCCTTGCCCCGCTACCAGATACGATCGAGCCACGTGGCGGGGAGGAGGAGGATCCGAGGAGGAGGAGAGGACGAGGAGGAGGAGGAGGAGGAGGAGGAGGAGGAGGAGGTTTAAGGGGTGGCACGACGCGCCTCAACGACGTGGACGATGGCACAGCACGAAGCGGTCGTCGCCGCAGTGCCTGACGTCGTACCACGCGAAGTGGTACCTATATCGAGGGCGCGGGACCGTGCGTGATACATATAATTATGTATATGTATACTGCACTGCCCGATTACCCCGGAGGCGCCCCGCCGCGTCGAACCACTCGAGCGCGGCCGCGGCGGGCTCGCCGAGCCACACGTACCACCGCGTGATGTGCACGCGGTGCAGCGGCGCTCGGGTGGACGCCTGCCACACCCACGCGGGCAGGCGGTCCCGCGGGGCCCTGGGAAACAGGTAACCCCGCGGGGCCCACCATGGCGCCCGCTCCCCCTCGCCCACAGGCGCGACGGGGGTCTCCCAGGGCACCGCTGGGTCGAGCCCAGGCGGCGGCCCTGGGAGGACCACCGCATCGGCCGCGGGGGGGAAAGGGGAGGGGGGGCCCCCAGGCCACTCCCAAAGCTCGGCCATGGATCAAGCCCTTGATCATAAAAATTGGAGGAGGAGGAGGAGGAGGACGAGGACGAGGAGGAGGAGGAGGAGGACGAGGACGAGGACGAGGACGAGGACGAGGACGAGGAAGAAGGAACAACATGAGGAGGAGGGAGGAGGAGGAGGAAGAGGGCATTAATTAAGGAGGAGGAGGCGGAGTCGGAGGGAGGAAAAAGAAGATAGACCCCTCAAGCCCTCGAGGTCGGAATCCCTGGGGCGGCCTCGATCGCTCGACGCGCTTGCGTCGGTTCCTCCGCGGCGGTGGGATTAAGGGAGAGGAGGAGGAGGAAAAGGAAGAGGAGGAGGAGGAGGAGGAGGGCAACGAGGAGGAGGAGGAGGAGGAAGAGGAGGAGGAGGACGAGGATGAGGAGGAGGAGGAGGAGGAAGAGGAGGAGGAAGGAGGAGGAGGATATCGAGGAGGATCGAGTAGGAGGGAGGGGGCGGGCGGGCGGGTCCCGAGGCGACCTGTCGATGGGGGGGCCTCCAGGGCCACGCCTGCCCGACGGGGGGGCTCGAGGCGACCGGAGGGCCGCGCCTGCGGGTGGAGGGGGGGGGAGGGACGAAGAAACAAGAGGAGTGATGGATCCCTCGGGCGCAGGGAAAGGAGGAAGAAGTGGAGGCATGCACGGCGCACGCGCGCACGGGCGCACACGTGCACACACACGCACACACGCATGCTCGCGCGGTCGCGGCCTCGCGCGCTTCAGCGACGGGGCGAAGCAAGTCGAGCAGCGCAGGCGCGCGCGGGCACACATACACGCACATGTATACGTACCGTGGGGGAGGAATGATCCCTGAGATCCCACATGTTGCAGCATCGCGAGCGAAATCGCGATTGGCCTATAGGCATTTCCGCGCCAGATCGATACGCGGGGGTCCCAGGGCCCGAATCTCGAGGGGTGTGAGGATCTCAGGGATGCGGAGAGCAAGGGGCTGCGCTTCCCTTCCTGCCCTGCACGCCCTGCACGCCGACGACGCGCACGCATTTTTCAGCACAAGTGTGGCAACATCTTCTCGAGCAGTGCGAAATAAAAGGTCGATCCCTGGTGCAGGCTCTTGGAGACCTGGGCAAGGACACGGTTCTCCCCTTCGTCATTATACGTCCACCGGAAGCGGGGATTCCCGCCCGTCCGCGATTGCTTAGCAATGTGGAACGCCATGTGGAATTTATAGACTAGGTGACCGCCTGCAGCTTTATAATATTGCAAAAAGTCGATCATGTGCTTCTCAAGCGCATTCTGATCAGACGGGGACAGGTGCCTGGGAGAATTCATTACAAGTGCCTGAAAATCTGCGAATGCCTTGGCTGCAAAAGGAAGCAAGACTGATCCACCCTCGCGGAAGCACTGCGGGTTCTCACTGCAAATCATTGGGAGTAACGGCACTAGGTGCCGAGTCTCGGCGGCTTTTGCATGCAGCATCATCTTTGAAGCATCTGTGTGTTTCCCCAACATTTTGAGAGACAACTTCTGGATTCTGCATTTGCCTTTCTCCCGAGTAAGGCCAGCTGCAATATAGAAGGACTTGATCCTGCGTCTAAGATGGATAATGTCGTCGTGGTTCCTGACGAGCACTGTCGTAGCACGGCTCTGGGCGAAATTGTTCAGAATCAGTTGCCAGAATATTGTGCCGATGAGCCGCTGGGACGTGCCCAAGTCGCACACGTGCATAAGATCAAGCGCAATCATCGAGATCGTGAACCCAATTACGCCGAAAATTGGTGCCACAAAGGTGAGGCCCGCTTCGTTCCTAGAATTGAAAAACGTGAGCTCCAAGGGGTCGTCTGGCGCGACGTGGACATCGCCCAGTGAGTGCGTGTCGACCACACGCCCGCGTGGGACCAACCGCCATCCCGCCTCGAGGTTAAACTCGGGCACGGCTCGCCATGTTCCGTACCCCCACAACCCTGCGTCATGTCGGCATGAACGAATTATCCTGTTCAGCTGGGCTCTTGTCTTCACGATAACTTTTTTTATGCATGCTTTAACCATTCGTTCATAAACAGCTGGGTTCTTATCCTCCCAAACAGCACTATCAATATTCAGAGGAAAGGAGAACATGTCCTCCTTGGTTGTGGTGCAGCACGGACAGGGGTGTTGGATGTTGTCCCAACGGCGAAAACCACAGGCGCTGATGATCTCAAGCATGTCTGCCCTGAGCTCCACAAGGGCAGCGCAGAGTCCGCCCGCAATGGCGAACCCGCGCATGTTGGCCCGCCACTCGCTGTCGAATGGCAGCCCGTCGTGGGACACAGCTGGAAACAAACCTGTCGCCATGATATTGAGCGACCAGACAACCACAGCCATGATCGAGGCGATTGTGCACATTCCTCTGCATGCACACTGGCAGAGGTCTGACTTTCTGATGGTTGCTATCGTGTGTCTTTTCCCAGTTAGGCAGTTGCTCCAATACATGCAGATGAACGTGTCGCGTTTAGTGCGCGGCACGCCATCGCTGTAAAAGCCGATCGGGAAGGTGTTCGCTCGGCCCTTTTCGGCGGTAACTGCGTGCCCAAGGTAGTGCGGGGGGAGCTCTTCGAGGGGCACGTCTGTCAAGTTGTAGTCCTCTGGCCGCTCCTGGTAGGAATGGTGGAACGCTTCGTGCGGCAGCATGATCGGGAATTGCATCTTCGTGCGCCGTTCAGCATCACTGTCCCAAACGGGGATGGTAGTTACATAGAAGCGCTCCCTGGCTTGGGCACGGACTACATTTCTCAAGTGGCCTGCGTGGTGGTTCGACGCCTGGGCGGGGTCCAGCGCCAGGTCCCCGACGCCCACGCTGCCAGCGCGCTGCGCGTGCCACGCGATCGTGCACACATCCTCCCCGAACAATTTAACCCTGAGATCGCATGCGTGGGAAATCAAAACCTCGTAAACAAGCATGCGCGATCGGAGCAAATTCTTGCGCGGCATTTTTCAAGCTGGATCGAGCTGCGGGGGGCCAAGGCCCGAAACCTGTCGACAACGATGCGTCTCGAAAAACATTGGGGCGCCAGGATCTCAGGGACATGCAACCCGATCGTCCTAGAATTCCTCGCTGAGAGTGGGGGCGGCGGGGGCCAGGCCGAATCCAAATGAGCAGTCAACGGGAACGTTCAGCGAGACTCATCTGGGAAGATCGGGCGTGCATGAATTGTTCGAACCCCCTTTCCTTCGCCGTCAGCTTCCCCTCAGACCACCTTCCGAGAAGATAGCGCCGCAATCCGACGCCATTATCGCCCTGGGCGACATGGCAAGCAAACCGACTGCACCTCTCTATATCTCTAAAGGGCCGAGCTCCGAGGAAGCCCGTGTGAGGCGTCGCCCATCAGCGATCGACGTGCGCATTGGCGCAGCTCGGTTTCCCCCCAGGTTTCCTTGAGGCCCCAGTCTCCTCCATTCCCCTCCTTCTTCCATCCCCCCGTTCCCCCGTGCCTTTCGCCGCCCCCCCATTCACGCCCCCCAAATCTCAATTTGCAGTGCAATCGTGTTGCAAGCCATCCGCCTCGACTTCCTGCGGCGCCCCCGCTGTCGACGTCGGCACCGCGGATCCAAGCTCAAGCTCGGCGGCAGCAGCGCGGCCCGTCATCAAATGAGAATCGAGGAGGTCGATCACCCTGAGATCCGACGTCGCGAAAAATGCAACACCGCTGGAAAACGCATCCAACATCATCACGACCGATCTGTAGGCACTCGAACGGCATCGATGGCCCACGGGCCCGAACTAGGGCCACCATGTCACGTTAACCATGCGACGTCAGGATCTCATGGGGATCTGTCAATGCAGCCCAAAAGCAAAGAAAACAATACCTCAGGGCTAGACCCTTAAGCTAGACGACTACGGACAATTGCAAATCTATCGTTTGGGGGGGGTGCTTTGATCAACCGGAAGCATGACGGGTTGACCTCCCAGCATTCTTATTCGAAGCATCTGCTTGGCCTCTCAATCTGAACTTGCAGACCAGCCGCCATTTCATCGCGCGCGACGGTCTGGCTGCATACCTGGAACGGGTCGGCCACGGGCAAACTGTATATACATGCCATGCAATTGTGAATCTGGCCAGCTGCTGACTGCCCCATCACTGCTCCACGTCTCCGTCACCGCGCCCCTCATCCTCCTCCGAACGGACTTTCCTCCTCCTCCTCCCCATCACCATCATCATCATCACCATCAGCATCATCAGTATCATCATCATCATCATCATCATCATCATCATCATCATCATCATCATCATCATCGTCATCATCAACATCATCATCGTCGTTGTCGTCATCATCATCATCATCATCATCATCATCATGGGCAGCAGCATTATCATTGATTCAGCTCGCGTTCGAGAGCCCATCTCTCGAACTTATATCCGCACTTCAATGGCACCACGTGCCCGAAAAGTTGCCTGCTGAGGCAGCCGTGGGAGCTGGGAAACTGGAAGGACCTGCAACGCTGAGCTGGCAAACTGCGAGGGCTGGCAAGACTACGAATACGCGCGTGCAACATGCATTCACGTGAGTAACGGAACGGAGCGGGTCTTACGCGATATGGCATGCAAACATTATAGGTTGCTTACGCGGGCCGCCAGCGCGGCGCGCCATGTTGGAGACGAGAACGCTTACATACGCGCGGACCTTACGCGGACAGCTTGTACTCAAATTTTTACGCAGTTCATTTGCACTCGCACGCGCGCGCACACGCAAGCAAGTGCGAGAGCGGTGATCGAGGGAGGGGGAGAGGTCTAGCTGCTGAGCTCTACTGCGACTGCGATTCGCCCAGGGCTTTCG